GAACCCCCCCCGTCCCCCCTTGGGAGCAGGTGGGGAGTGGGGGGGAGGGGGGCCCCCCTGGTTCTGATCGACGTCGCCGAGTGTTGGGGGGGGGCTCGCCCCCGAGCTCGAATCCCGCCGCCGAATATTCCCAAAGCAAGCGCCCGTGAAACGCGCTCTCTCCTCTATTGGAAACACGCTGGCGGCCTTGCCGCAGGCAGCGGCCGCGTTCGAGGCGACCCAGGTTGAGCTTGCGAGCCAGGGCGCCGCCCCCTGGCCAGCTGCGCCCCTGGAAGCCTTGGTGTGCCACCCGACCAAAGCAGAAAACCTGGGTTGCATAAGAAATGCCGATCTGTTGCGAAACAATCACTGCACCACTGCAGCGAGGTGGCGCTGCTCTCCGCTGGGGGTCCAGAGGCTGGGGCCAACCTGACGTGCCCCACGGACCTGGCGTGCACGCTGGGAGACCCTCACTGGCAGACGGCAGCCCAGAGCCGTGTCCAGCTGCCGCGGCCCGGGTGGGTCGCCTACGGGTTCGCGATAGTGCAGAACGAACTTGGGGGTGGAGTGTGCAAGCTCTCGAGGGCTTACCAATAATGCGTATCCTTGGCCTTGGCGCCAGGCTGAGGAGGGCGTCAAACTGGACGCGGAGAGTACCCGTTCCGCGGGCGGGCCCCCCCCGCGCTTCAGCGGGCGAGCACCGGGAGGAGGCGCGCGCGAGGGTTTGGGGGGCGCGCGGGGGGGCGTCCTCTGCCGGCATGGGCGGACTCGCCCAGGTTCGAGGATGCGTTCGAGAGCCCGCAGGGGAGGGTCCCGAAGCAGAGCCTGGACCGCGCGCTGAGCGCGGAGGGCCGGTCGATCAACGACGTGCGCGACGCCGATGCGAAGCGCGCGAAGACCGGCCGCCCGCCAGCGAAGCAGCCTCGCCATCGCGAGGTCGCCCGCCGATTGGTGCGATGGCGAGCTCGTTGTCTGGGGCTGCTGGCGCTGCTCCCCAAGCGCAACATTAAGGCGGCGTTCGAGCTGATCAGGATCCGACGTGGCGATGTTTGGCTGTTCGCCGTCGGCCTGGGCGGCGAGTGCCTTGGGGTGGATGTTGGCGTCGCGGTGGCCCACCTGGCCCTGGCGCTCGGTTTCGCGGGCGATCCGGGCGAGTGGATCGCGCGGGCAAGGGTTGCAGGCCTTCCATCAGAGCCGGCCCCCCCCGCTGGAGGCCCAGCGCGACGCGGTGGCCTTCGCCGACTAGTGTTCTATGGGCGATAGGGTTCTTACCGAGCCCGAGCTTGGGCTGACGCCCTCGGTGAGCGGCCGCGCTCCCGGTTGGGCGGAGGGGGGCGCTGCCCCGCGCGCGATCAACGTCGAGAAGCTGGGCGTGGATGGCCGCTTCGTGGAGCGCCGGGCCGTCTGGGGGCTCGAGCTGGATTCGGCATGCGTGGTGTCGGGCATGCCGGAGCCCGAGATCTCGAAGGCCGTCTGCGCCCTGCGCCAGGGCGCGTTCGACCTGGGCAGCCGCCGCGCGCCCCTCGAGATGCTCCAGCAACTGGGGGGGGGGGTCGGCGCGCGCGCGGTCGCGGTGCGGCCCGCGCTCCAGACAGAGCTGTCGACCAGTTGCCGGCCTGGGCCGCGCCAGGCGGGCCGCGCGCCTGCCCGCCGAGCACCCCGTCCGAGGTCGGGGCCAGGTGCCGCCACTTGCGGGGCAGCGCGGAGGTGATGCGCGTACTGGTTGCCAGGCGGGAATATTGGGAGGCGTCTTTCGTCGCAGCGCTGGAGGGGCTGCGTCGCCCTCGGGGGCGCTTCGCCCCCCCGAGCTTGGCCGAGCGAGTGGCGTGGCTCGGGGGCGACGCCGCGATGGAGTTCGCAGGCCAGGTCGAGTTGGGCGCGCGTTGCAGTGCCAGACAGGGCCGCCGGGCCTACTTGGACGCGCTGCAAGCCACTGCGGGATCATACAACTACGTGCTGACCGTCGCCCCTGGGGAATTCTTATGCGTGGTCAGCTTCGCGGCGCTGGGGGCAAGGACTGCGGGGTTCGCCTGGCGATCGACGTTGGGGGCAGCCGGGGCGTCCGCAGCCGGATCCGCGCTCGGCGCCCTTGTGGCCGCGCGGTCCAGCGCCTCGAAAGGCTGTTGGGTTCGGTTACCTCGACGAGTCTGGGCTTTTAGCTGCTCGCGCCCTGCGTCAACGTCGATCGCAACGTCGCCAGAGACATGATCTCTCGCGAGACCGACGAGGAGGCGAAGAGGCCCATGGCCGCCGTGGGCTTCGCGAGGGTGGACGTCCAGCCCGCGCGGGAGGAGCTGCTGGAGGCCGCGCGCGCGAGGCGGGTCCGCGCGATTGCGCTCGCGGGCCGCGAGGACTGGCAAGTCGCGGCCCAGCGGGCGAGCCCGGCGCGAGGGCGGGCGGGCCCGCTCGGCTTTGGAGCCGCGGGTGCTAGCGGCCCCGTGAGCCATCCTCGAGGTGGGCGCGACCCTGGTGGGCCGCCGCCGCGGCGTCCTTGCCCTCGGCGCCCGGGCGAGCAGCCTGCTGGCCAGACAGCTCGCCGCATCTGGACGAGGAGTTCTTGCGGGCGCCGCGGGAGGATCGCGCTTGCGTGGAGCTGGCCGAAGGTCTCGCCCGCGCCGGGGCGTCGGCGCCGCGGGGCTTGCAGCTGGGCGCCCCGCCAGGTGCCGCCCCTGCTCGGGCGCCGGCGCCGCTGCGAGGGCGGGGCCGGGGGGCCAGCGCGGATGGGGCGATGCTGGAGGACGTGGGGGAGGCCGTCGCCCAGCGAAAGGCGTAAATGCTGGCGGCGCGGGTGGGGCGCCCCTGGCGGATGGGTGGCTCGCGCGCTCCGCGGGGCCGCGGGACTTCGCGCCCCCGAGCCAGTCCACTGGGTCACCCCAGAGCATTAGGAGACTGGGGGGCACGGGGTGTTCGAGCGGGGGCCGCGCGCGGCCGCGGGGCGAGCGGGCGGTTCGCCGCGCCTGGCTGGCCGCTGGCGTGGCGCTCAGGGCGGCGCCGAGAAATTGGTCCGCGGTATCTACGGCCCCGCCCCGCGATGCAACTTGAGGGGGGGCCTGGGCGAGGCCCTGATCGTTGGCCCGAGGGGCCTGGGGCTGGCTGTCCGACCGCTGCTGGCGCAGGAGGCGTGGAGGTTGCGCGGGGCCACCGATGACGGCTGCGCCAACGCGGAAGGAGGAGAACACCTGCCCGCGCAGTTGGCCTGGGCGCTGATGGCGCAACCCCCCAGCGCGGCGCAGTCGGCGATCGCCGCCGCGCCGGTCCAGTCGGAGCTGCTGCAACCTGCCGCCGCTCGGGCCGGGGCATGCCGCCGCCTGGAAGATGGCGAGATTTCGAGACGCGAGCAGATGGATGCCTGGCTGCAGGGGCGGCCGGGGCGGCCTGCAGCGGCTCGCCGAGGCGCCGGGCCAGAGCCGAGGGCCCGCGTGCTGGTGCGCTGGCTGAGGAGGATGAGAATTAGGGAGGCTGGCGGCCTCCCCCCGCTGGAGGTGCTGGGCCCCCGCCGCCGCCCGTCGCTGTCGGGCCCGCGGCCGGAGGGGCCGCCGCGGGCGCCGCGTCTTCCGCCGCCGCCCCCCCGGTCGCGAGGCGCGCGCAGTGCCGCGCGGAGAGTTGTTGGTGCCTGGCCCAGCAGTAATAACGCAGTTAAGCAACTCGCTATACTAACAAGACGGTTAATGGTACCACCAATACTAACAATAAGAAGGCGAAGCCTAATGCCAATCGCGATAATATCAAGAAACAGACTCATAGACGAATTTAAAACATATTTCCGAACATACGGTGTGTAATCCATACGACAGTATCAGCCGTACTCATAATACAAATGCGAAGACGGTGAACAATGCACCGGATAATCTTGTGAACTTTTTGGTGGTTGCGAAGAGCAATAATACTACAACAACTAGCAACAATACTTCTAATGAGAAAGCTCCGAAGAGGATGAGGACGATTACTAATGATAATATATACAAGCTTTCAATTTACAACCGCAACATGTACAACAGTACGAAACATATATCACATATGGTCAACCGTAATAACAATATTATACACATAATACCAGTACATATATTAGCAGTACTAGTACGAATGCTACACAAGGATATCTGACATACTAATAAGTGAATGACAACCTTAATACTACGGATACGACGAAAAGTAAATTTTACAATCGTAATGCTACTATAATCGCAATTGATACGGATACTATTTGTAACATTCATGGTACTAGCAACACTACGCATGGAACAAATCACCATGCACAAATGATACAGGAATACCAATCATGGAACGAATTTGCAGAAGAAAACTAGTAATCACAATAATCGGGATACCAACGCGAATGATAATACGATTTCTCATACTATTGATCATGATAACAGCAGGAATCCGAATCATGCCATTTTTATCATTCGTCGTATTTTTAGTAGTATGGATTAGAACAGTACTACTAATAATGATAATAATACTAATCATATACGTACTATGAATAATAGTATTGCTAGTACTAATATGGCTCATATTAGTGAATACGAATATTAATACTAATTCGTAAAGAGGAGGCGATACGTCTGCCTTGTCGAGGTCGGGCGTCTGGGAGGCGGAAGCCGAGGGGGAAAACCCCCAGCTGAGGAGGGGTCACAACCCTCTGGCACCCCCCGGGGGACCAGCCCCCAGGATCCCCCAGGGATCCCCCCCGGGGCCCTTTCCCGGGACCTCCCCTGGGACCCCCCCCGCCCAAGGGAACGAACAAAGGGAAGTGGCTTCCCATTGACGATCCCCCTTGTTTGTTCGATCTCCTTTTACGTCGGCGACGATTCAAATGAGGCTGGCGTGATTCAGTTTGGGTTGGGGTGGCCCCGCGTCGAAGGGCCTTTCACACACGCCGACTGGGTCGGCGAATTTTCGGCCTCCGGGCTTGTGGCCGTGAGAAAACGACCCAGAGTGAAGACGCGATCCCCGGGAAGAGGTTCAGATTTTTGGGGGGCCATGTGGAGAATTCCCGCGGTCGGACGTCTGGGGGATGCCTTGCACGTGCTCGTCGGGGAGCCTCGGCGATCGGAACCCCTGGATGCATGCGGCGGCCCCTCCTAGGGACGTCCGCCCCATGCTGCCGCCGCCGGCTCGTTCGCCACGGCACCAGCGAGGGCAACGTGTCGTCCGAGGACGCCTGCGCCGAAGATCGGCGGCGAGCGGGGTGGGGGAAAAGAGAAGGAGAAGGCCTTCTCAGAAGGCGGCGGGACTTCTGAGAAGTCCTCGCGCATTCTGAGAGGTTTTTTGGGGTTTCGGGGAAGCATTAGAAATCTTCTCAGAAGGCCAGGGGACTTCGAGCCTTCTGAAAAGGCCTTCTCCTTCTCACTTCCCCCCTCGATCGCCGCCGAGAAGAAGGAAACTGGCATTGCCAACTTTCTAGAGTTCCGTGCGGACTCCTCGGATCTGCGCTGAGCCCCCCCAGGCGTCGCCGGAGGCGCCGCCCATTGACGGGCTTCGCGCGGCAGAGGGGGATCCATCCGAGACATCCTATGGTCTTGTTTTTTCGATGCGGGGCCCCCGGAGGTCCCGAGCCTTTCTAGGGGGGGGTGGGGGGGCGTTTCTTTCTCTTTCTCCTAAGCTGCGTGTTCGACGGTCCAGTGTCTGGCGAGGCCCCCCGAAGGCCGAAAACGACGAACACTTACCAAACCAAACAGTTTTTGTTCGAGAGATTGGATGCCAGGGGCCTCTAGCGCCGATTCAGGAAGTCCGCGCGGACTAGGGGGGCCACATGCGAACCCTACCCCTACCCCCCACGATTTCTGAGGGGGAGGGCTGGGTTCACTTCGTTCGGAAGCTCTCGAGCGAAGTGAACCCCCCCTCCCCCTCAGAAATTGTGGGGGGTAGGGGTAGGGTTCGCATGTGGCGGTCTGTGCTTGCGCGGACTCCTCATCCACCCCGTGGAAGCTCGAAGACGGGGGGCGGCGGCGGCGGCGTAGTCCCCACGGGGAGGGGGGCTCCGCCAAGGCCGCCTCCTGCCGTCGTGGGGAGCCTTCTCCGGAGCCTCTAGCCCCTCCTCCTCTTCCTCCTGCTCCTCCTCCTCCTGCTTCTCCTCCCCTCCTCCCCCTCCCCCTCCCCCTCCTCCTGCTGCTGCTGCTGGTGCTGCTGCTGGTGCTGCTGCTGCTGCTAACGGCTGAAAGAGACGATGTCTGACACCTGTCCTGCCCCTCCCACCCGGCAAGGACCTGGGCGGAAGGGGGAGCTCATTAGGGAAAAGGTGAGAAACACAAAGAGGTGAGAGCGGGGGTAAACATCTGTCGGAGCAGCTGCGATGGAGAGAAAAGCGGGGCGCTCGGCCGAAGCGTCGTGGCATCTCCAAGCGAATCCGTACCCGTACAGCGCCCATCCTCCACCATCACGTCCCCCCCGCCCAACCCCCGCCCTTCCTCTGTCACGCGGTGGCCGCGTCGGTGAGGTGAAACGTAAAAGAAAAACCCTGGCAGTGCGGTGCGGCGAAGCAGACTCCTCCTCCACCTCCTCAGTCCCCCCCCCTCCTGGTTCCTGGTTCCTGTCGGCACGAGAATCGTGATGACGCTGCCGCTTCCCCCGGGGGGGGGGCCGTCGCCCCCCCCCCCCCCTGGGGGAAAAACTGCGGGGCTCGACCCCTGTCCGCGAGGAGGGGACAGGAGGAGAGGTCATCAGGTACATCAACAAAACATCATAAAAGGTGGAGATTGAGTCGAGGTTGGATGCGGGGCTGCACAGCTGGCAGGCGTTGGTGGACCCCTTTGGGCCCCGTCTTGGGCCCCCCCCCCCATTTGGGTCCCCCGACCTCTTGGGGTCGGTGCCCTGCTGGTGGTGCCCTGGGTCTGTCCTTCGGGGGCGCCCACGTGGTCAGAGGATGGGGGGGGGCAGGTGCTGAGGGTTGCCGAGGATGTTGGGTGGGGGTCGGCCTCCTGCCCATGTGGCTGCGGGGTGGGCCTCCAGCAAGTGCAGGCCTGATCACTGGCAGCTGCCCTATGGCTGTTGCTGCGACTGTGGCCAAGGGTTCTCTGGCCGCATTCTGAACAGCTGCCCTGGTGGCGCTGTTACAGTTTCCGCCCTGGCCGAATTACGAGCGGTTGCCCTGATGGCTGGTGCCTTGATGGCTGTGGGAGCTGGCTGCGGGGCCTCCAGCCCCCTGCGACTCGGCTGGCCAAAGGTTGCGTTCAGACCGCATGTTGCAGACTTGCCCTGATGGCTGCTGTTACTGTCTCGTGCTGCACAAGTTGCCCTGATGGCTGTTGTTGCTGCCTCAGCTCTGCCGAATTAAGAGCAGTTGCCCTGATGGCTGTAGGGATTGTAGGTGCCCTGATGGCTGTGGAAACTGGCTGCGAGGGCCTCCAGCCATCCTGTGACTCAGCTGGCGAAAGGCTGCGTTCAGAACGCATTCTGCACAGTTGTCCTTATGGCTGCTGTTGCTGTCGCATTCTGCACAGTTGCCCTGGTGGCTGCTTTTGCTGTCTCAGCTCTGCCGAATTTTCGCAGTTGCCCTGATGGCTGTGCGAATGATGTGCTGATTTCAGCGGTGGCAGTTCGCCCTTAAGATCTGGCAGTCGGGAGGGGAAGGAGGTGGGGCTGCTTGGTCAATGCCCTGGTGGCTTTGAAAGAATTGGAGAACATTTGCGGGGCCCTTCTGAGGGTGCCGCGCCCCAGACGAAGGCGGCAAGCTGCAACTATCGTCGGGGAAGACGAATGGCCTGTGGTGAGGTAGGGAAGAGAGGACGCGGAACGTGCCACCTGTTTGAAGGTTGCAAGCCACGGGTGCGCGGCCAACGCCGCGCCGCCGTCAGCTGGGCGTTTCCCCTTCCCGCCCAGACAACTCCTCGCACCACCCCGCCCGTCCCGACTCCGCAGGAGGGGGGATGTGAAGGTTAGGTGGGGGGGGCGAGAAGAGACTGATCGAAGACGAAATTGATGTAGGCGGTGTAATTGAAATAGGCGCCGTATCACATGTGCCTTCGTCGCGGGTACCACTGTGTTCATTGTGTCGGGCGCCGTGCGCCTCGAAGGAAACCGCGAACGGGCTCCGGATCACTATGCACCTCCCTCCGCTGTTGAGCGGATCGTTGAGACGGAGGATCCTCGAATTGGGTGGCGAAGTGCACGCGCCGCCCGTCCCGCGCGCTGCCAGCCTTTTGGTCCTGGTCGGCGCCGAGCGGGTCCTCGAGGTGGGGGGCGCAGCCCTCCAGCAGTGGGCCCGCGGCCTCTTGGGCGTGCCCGTCGCGGAGCGGTGCCTCGAGGTAGGGGGCGAAGTGCACGCGCCGCCCCTCCTGCGGGCCGACGGCGTCCTGGGCGAAGTGCACGCGCCGCCCCTCCTGCGGGGCGCCGTCCTCCTGGGCCGGCTCGGCGCTGTGCGGGTCGGCGAGCTGGCTGGCGCCGGGGTCGTCGTCCGCGCCGTGCCGGTCAGCGCCGGGGCCGGCCGCCTCTGCGCCAGGGCTGGCAGTGGCGCGACGGCTGCCGCGGGCCGCGGCGGCAGCAGCGGCCAGCGTCGGGCAGCAGCCGGCGGCGGCCCCCTCCGAAGGCCGCGGGCGGCGGCCGGCGGCCTCCCGTGGGGGCTGGGCCTGGCGCTCTGCCTCCGAGGGCACGCCGCGTGGGGGGGAAGCGGCGGCGGCTGGTGGCCGGCGGCCCTCGCGGGGCGCCGGCAGCCGGCGGATGGGGGCGGCTGCTCCTCGGAGGCCCGTTTCCGCTGCCTCGGCCTGGCTCCAGTGCCCAGGTGGCCTGGCAGGCGGCCCCCGCCTCTCGTGGGGGGTGGCGGGAGACAGCGGCGGCAGGCTGAGGGTGGACTCGTGTCCAAAGAACGGGTCGGTCTGAGCTGGGACCTGGACGAGGATGTACTTCGTGACGATGGTTGCTTTGCCTTTCTTTACGGAGGTGCGGTTCCGGAGGGCGGCCTCGCAGGCTTGCATCCGTCTGCGTCGGGCCGCGCGACGGGCTGCTGTGGGCCCGATCGCTGCGAGTTCCATGGCGCGGAGCGTACTGGTTGTTGTGGGGCGAGTGGGCGCTGTTGCTGATGCCGATGCCGATGCCGATGCCAATGGAGCTGTGGGCCGCCTCGCTCTCGGGCAGCCCCCCATAGCCTGGCTCATGTTGTCCGCCTGCTGCATCGCGGGCTACACGATCCGCGTCGCGGGCCCCGCTGGGCGTCGCCGCGAGCGGGCGACGGGGGGACACGCGCCCGAATCGCCCGGGCGGAAACGCCTCCTCCTCCTCCTCCTCCTCCTCCTCCTCCTCCTCCCACCAATCGCCCATTCCTCTCCGATGGGGCCTCGTAGCCCACCCCCCGTGAGCGTGCGGTTTCCCTCTCGGGTGCTCGTTGCCAATTCCGGGCCGATTCCCCCCCCGCCCCCCCGCCCCACTGGGGCAGCCAGCCCCCTCCACCGATCGTTAAGTCGGGCCCGTCCCTCTACAGGAGGAATGTTCAAAAATAGTCAGGAAATCGTATTGGGCCTCTTTTTTTAGTATTTTTTTTGACCATTTTGGAGTATTTCCCCAAACAGCTTGCTGAACGGGGTGCTGTTGTGGTAGAAACTAACTCCGACCGAGGGAAGTCGGAGCAGAGACAGTGGTCCTGGCCGTTTCGCTTGAGACATCCTCGAAACTCTGAGCCCCGAGGTGCCTTGCGCGAGGTGGTCCGGGCCGTTTCGCCTGAGACATCCTCGAAACTCTGAGCTTTGCGATGCCTTGCGCGAGGTGGTCCGGCCCGTTTCGCCTGAGACATCCTCGAAACTTTGACTTCGGAGATGCCGCGCGAGAGGTGGTCCGGCCCGTTTCGCCTGAGACATCCTCGAACTTCTGAGCTCTGAGATGCCCTGCGCGAGGTGGTCCGGCCCGTCTCGCCTGAGACATCCTTGCAACTCTGAGCTCTGAGATGCCGTGCGCAAGGTGGTCCGGCCTGTTTCGCACAAGACATTCTCGCAACTCTGAGCTCTCAGATGCTGCGCGAGAGGTGGTCCAGCCTGGGCGCCCAGAAGACCACATGTTACATATCCTCCATGGGACCCTGCGAGCCTCAGGAGGCCCCAGAGAGGTCCAGGAGGCCGCAGGACGCCCAGGACAGGCCCCAGGGGCCAGGAGGCCCCCTCTTCAGAACGTGTCAA